AGTTTTGAAGCCTCTCATTGTGCTTAAGATAGCTATCATATGTAACAACCAGGAGGTTTGTATCGCTTTTAACACATACATGCTCATTAATTAAGCGTAGTTCTTTGGTGGCATGGGTTGACTGGAATAGGACACAACATGTTTTTTGTATGTTGAATACTAACTTATTCACCTGCAGCCAGTTTTGAATATGGTTTATTTGGGTCTCCATCAAGATTCGGATGTCAGACGTTTCTTTATATGGTATCAGAGTAGAGTAATGATGTACAAGGCAATAATTAAATCGTCTATTTCCAAAGATCACTAAGTCCGCATCAGAATATTTTTGAGGAAACGCGAAAGTTTGATACTGACCACAAAATAAGCAAATTAGGGTTCTTATGTGCAGAAAGTGGTAGATGGTAGCATAATGTTTGATAATTTGTTATCGCGAAAATCTGAGTTCAACCATTTTTTGGAAAACTGTAGAATTTTACTTGATTTTGTTGCTTTTAAAAATCATTTCTATGATGTTTTTGCTGACTAGTTGAACTTACCGTCAAATTTTAATATATTTAAATACGTGCTGAGTAGGTATAAAAGCGCATTAAAACATGCAAAAGTTAGATTTAGTGGCTTTTGGAATAATCGACGGTTTTGGATATGATTTAACAGGCTTATAAACGGAGTTTAGACTCTGAAGCAGTACTTAGACTTTCTGCGACCAAATGGCAATGCTATCTCAATGTACAGGGTCCGTCAGAAAGAAAGCATGTTTTTCGAGTGGGTACTACATCGAGTGGGCTGGTCCCGTGTCGGTGGGGAAGGGCGTGTTGGATAGTGGGAGAAGTGCCGTTTCAGATGGTTTTGATCGTTGAGCATTGTGTGTTCACTGTACGTCGGTACTTGCAAAATGGCGGGTCTGTCGATCGAACACAACGTGAGTTTATCGTTCACTTTCGTGTTCCACGTCGTGGGACAGTACAAGTCCGTAACACCATTTTAAGATGGCTGGAAGCATTCAACACAACAGGTAATATGATGAAGAAAAAACCGCCAGGGCTAGACCGTACTGTTAGAATCCCCGGAAATGTAGACAGAGTGAGAGTTGACAGGCTGCACACGCGTCCTCTGTACGTCGCATCTTCAAGAAGAATTTAGTATTCCGTCCGTACAAAATCCAAGTTTGTCAACACCTGTTGCCAGGAGATTTTGCACAACGTGAATTTTGCACAGCTCATGATTGAACAGTTAGATAACAACGACATGGCGTTGTTTATGATTGATGAAGCACATTTTAATTTACATGGATACTCAATAAACAAAATTGTCGATATTGGTCTCCAGTGAACCTCCAACAGTTGCATGTGCAATGTTGCATGTTGCAAACCCCGAAAGTTGCAGTTTGGTATGCAGTAGACCCAACGATGATTATTGGCTTTTATTTTTTTGAGGATGATGGAGGAACAACTACTGTTAATTCAGAGCATTACGTGCACATGCTGAACAACTTGTTCTTTTCGGAACTTCGACGTCGACGTCTCCGTCTCAGAACAGTGTGGTTCCAACAGGACGGGGAAACATCTCACACAGCTCGCACTTCGATGTAACTTCTTCGACAGAAAATCCCATGACGTCTCATTTCACGTTATGGCAATATTCCATGGCCCCCTCGCTCCCCGGACCTGTCAACTTGTGATCTTTTTTATGAGGCTACCTGAAATCAAAAGTTTAGCAAAGCAAGCCTTGGACCCTCGTTAGTTGGTAGGGGGAAATAAGAAGAGAAGTAACCCAAATTCCTGCACGGATGCTGGCCGACGGAATGGGCTCATTTCGGGACAAGTTTGATTCCTGCATCTCGGCTCAGGGGCGCCATGTGACCGAGAAGTTTTTAGAACGTAAATTTTGTTTTACTCAAACAAATGGCATGTATTTCTGAGTATTTTGATATAATAAAGTATTTTTTCCGTACTTATTTTGACTGTACTACTCGTTTAAAGAACATGCGTTCTTTCTGACGGACCTTACTTGAAAAATGGATTCAGGGGGCTCTGAAACTAGGCAACTCAATAAATTGTGGTATAGATTTTGGGGCATGGGCAGCTTTTGTATTCATGTTAAGTTGGTATTTTGATGGTCAATTTATGACAAAAGATGGAAAGTTAAAGAATAGGTGATAAAAGTTGCAAGGGAAATTGTAAATTACTTCTCCGCCATTGGGGTAATACCGAACAAGTAATAAAAATTTTCAGATCCAGTTCTGGACCAATTGATTGCAACAAAAATGGACAATTCCAACTTAAATACAATTACCAACAGCACATCGAATATTATATAAAAGTATCAAATCCACCTGACCATTCAACGACAAAGTGCACTCACATTGTACAGGCACTATAGATAGTAGATCCTTCTTTAGTCCATTAAAAACAGTATCCCAATCCAGAAGGAGGTAAGACTTTTAAACAGTTCATTAAACAATAACCAGGCGGATTCTTGTAAGTGCTGATATCAAAGCCATCTAATCTAGTTCAGTTTCAGGAGGCGAGACCATTGTGATTCCTACTGTGGTATCGTTCCTTTACGCTCATTAACACTGATGATACGTTTTAGAATTACGGAAATCTGAATTGGAAGGAATCGGAATTAAAAGGCATCGTGAGCCAATGAGACGAGTCGGTTCCGAGGCCGGAATCCACCATGGAATCGAATAACTAAAAAGAAGATTTTGCCCAGCTCCGTGATACTACTTCAAAAAAGAACCACAAGCCTCTCTCACATCAATAGGTGGTCGGTGATTCAGTCCTCCTTTATTGATACGCCAACGGATTTTGCTTCTCTGAGCTGTCTTTCTTCTATGTCTAAAGGATAGTCGCGTCAGACTCCGTTTGCTCCTAAGATATCTAGAATATGTAACAAAAAAGGTTTTAGGGCAATAAGTTCTATTCCGTATTGAATCCGTGGTACTTCAATATTTAGGATTTTACTAACTCTTTACAGCATGATGGTGCAGTGGGTACTGAAATTCTGTTTAAGAGCGGGCGATAGGAACACCGTATGATACAAAAAATAAGTCGCAATCACGACACATCTCGTGCTTGTACACGGGAAGTAATAATCTGTTCTTAGCCCCATAGTGGGATAACCCAATTCTAACCAATCGTTCGGGCGATGTTTGCCCTTATCTGGTCGTGTAATATTTTGTGCTAGGAACAGAACAGAGTCAACATTGAACCCTGAAAGCGTTCGATAGATCAATATCAAGAGGCTTTCAGCTTAGCAACGGAAATCGCGAGCAATATTTTTCAAAAACGATTCGATAACAAAAATAGAGCTCACCCTCCCCTCCAGCAATAATTCTTCTTATCGTTGACATTGCGGAAATCCAATTTGTCCCCGGTTTGCAATACCACACTGGACAAATCCGGAGCGACCATTTAAATTCTACTTCCAGATTAAATTTTAAATTAAAATTTTATGGCTTTTTTCGACGCGAAGTGTACGAGTAGACGTGTAGTTTGCCCGGAGGGTGGCTGACGATTAAAAATCAAAAATGGGTCGCTGCACTGTCCCATTGGATGAGCAAATATAAGTAGCGAATTCGGTATATCCGGATTTTTCGGGATTAAAAAATGCGTGTCGTGTTGGGTTTGAAACTCGGATGATTGGTTCCGTACATGCGTTGAACCAAACTACCTAACCAAAGATTGAACGATTTCATTGGCGCGGTAAAGAAAAAGACAAGGTAAACCTAAGTTGATATATTTCCAAATTGAGAAATGAAAGAGTTATTGCCGATGTTACTAGAATGTTGTCACGTAGGGCAATTTTTCTGGTAGTGACCTGCTGAACTCGGTACGACAGTAGTGTCTCAACCAGAAGTTACACCTGCAAACCACTCCATCATCCTGAATTAAGATGCATTTTGAAAACATCCGTTAGTTAACTTTCTACGCCCAAATAATGGTTTTATTTTGAGCGTACACATTTTTTAATTGTGAATTGTGTCGAATCTGTTTAGACTCGATTCCGACCGGTCCTAACGGCACTCCATTTTAGGTCGAAGTGAAAGGTCGGGATCGCCACAAGTTCCGCAATATTGCATCATTGGTTTATCTGATAATACCGCATCTTGAACATAGTTCAATGTTTTCATCTCCATGATCGTAGTTGAGTGATTTTGGTCAGTACCCATCTAGCTCTCCTAGAGGAGTATCGCCCTTCTTCGAAATGGCTTTCACCTGCATACACAAAATGTAACTCAGGATGTGTTGATTTTATCCCCATCGGTGGATCAAAATCAAAATAAATAAATAATTCTTATCAAAGCAAAATATTTAATTACATATCCGAAGAGACCACCTTCTTAGGCTTGACAATAACCGAACCTATTGTAGAAGCCTGTGCGAACATTTTCTGGTGCAACATATTGGCAACGCGGAAGATTGGACGACCTTCTGCGTCACCGTCGCTAGGTACTGTTTTGATTACCTTTGCTCTTCAGCCGGCTTCTGTCTCTTTCTAACATGTGTTGGTACACACGTGTCGCACTGTGCCAAAGCTTTTAGAACATATCGTACGTAAGTGGGATTCTGGATTCTGAGCTTTGGATGTTGCCATTGTTGTGGTAGACAGTCAGTAGTTATATCTCAAGCCAAAAAACGCGCATAGGTTAAAAATACCGAGTTAACCTACTTAGCCGGTTTTTTATAACTTCCTTTAAAAGTAACCGGCTGTCTAGACGCCGTTTCCTTTCTATAAACGGCACATTAGAAAGATCTAATAAGCCTCTTAATTGCCCGCGTATATATTAGAATAACATAACTTGATTAACATTCGAACCCTACCACCATAAGATTGCGACTCCTTCTGAAGGTCACGCGGTATCAGCACCGGCGACCGTACCAGTAATCACCATATTTAATAATCTATCAATTCAAGCAAGACCCAGCCGTATATATTTTAAATCTTTTAATATTGCACATCACTTGTCATCAGTTCAATGTCCATCCTTTGCTGAAATGGTCCCTGTGGTGCTCTCGATCCTTTGGCTCTTCATCGCTGCCAGCCGCGGGGAGATCTTCGAACCTGCCAAAGAGGCACACGTTGAGTTAGAGAAGAAAGCGTTCTTCCCCGCCTATCCTCCCTACGAAGAAGTGGTACCGCAAGAACAAGTGATCGCCGTTACGCCAGAAACTGTGTACAGGTACACCAAGGAGGAGGTTCCAGTGGTTATCAAGGCACCTGGACTTGAAAATGGAGGTGAACAGATCGCGCATAACAACGGATATAGTGGAGTGTTTATTCCTGAGCAGACCTACAAACCTCAACACCAAGTGACTACCCACAGGCCAGAGCAGGTAACTGTTCTCCATCACGTGACTACGCATAGACCGGAGTACCATCACGAACCATCACGTAGACCAGAACAGCACCATGGGCCGACACATATACCAGAGCACCACCATGAGTCATCACGTAGACCAGAACAGCTCCACGAGCCAACACATAGACCAGAGCACCACCACGAACCATCTCATAGACCAGAATATCACCACGAACCATCCCACAGGCCCGAATATCATCACGAACCTTCTTACAGGCCCGAGTATGAGCAGATTCCTGAGCACAAGGTTTACCATCACGCGCAGCATCAACCAGAACCCATTGAGTACCATCACAAACATCGTGAGTCCTTGCAACACCATAAACAGTATGACGAAAGTCACAAACACAAGAATCACGAGTTCAGAGAACCTCTGGACAAGTACCCGCTCAAGTACTTCTACAAGAAAGACTTCAAAGAGAAACTTAAGGAAGCCGTGAAGGAGAAGATCCTTGAATTGCTGAAGAAGAAAGTGGAATATAAGAAAGAGAAGTTATTGCATAAGATCTTCCATGAAGATGATCATGATCACCATGATCACCATGATCATCACCATCACTACGACAAGGGAGATGAGTTCAAAAAGTGGGTGAAGGCGTTAGCTGTGAAGGTGATATTTGGTGCCAAAGAGAAAGGGATTGATTGGTTGATATACATGAATCATCTGTTCCATACGCCCATCCATGACATATAGGCTGATATTCTCTCTTGCACATTGAACTCAAGCCGTCAGACAAATTTGAATCTTCCTGTATATAATTATCTCGTCATCTGGAAATAGTAACCATTCTCAACAAAACGCATGAGTATCATCCCGTGCTACCCCAGCGACTGTAGAGGAAGTTCAGCATATTTGTGATACTGCAGGTAACTTGGAAAAGTTAGTTATCTAAATAAATGTAAACGCTAACTGTATTTATTGGCCGTGATTATGATGTCGCAAGCTATACGGAACCACAAGTACTAAAAACAGGACGCCATCTTGACAATTCCTGCTATCAGCCACACGGGCAGGACACGTCTAGTTTGCCAACTTTTTTTGTAAGAATGCAACAATTTATAATCGTTTACTATGATACGTAAAATCTTCATTTCAGTTATTTGAACTGTTATGTGTCCTTGTTTATTTACAATTTTATTTTGATTTTGTGAATACATTTGGAATTAAAAATGTGACAAGGAATTTTAAGTTAGAATGCCATGTTGTTAATTTGGAATGGGTACAGTGCTTAATGCGCGAACTATGGGTTCACGCTGCTTGTAGTGGTTATCAATCCAGTGTGAATATATGTGATTATTGTAAGACCAGCAACTAAAAACACTAAAAATTCAGGCAAAAGACTGATTTCTGATTATCGTGACTGATTTCTTAAAAATTATTAATTATAAGCTATTTTAGGTTAATTGTCAAAGACTGTAAAACGGTTACAAAATTGAGAAATTCATGACGTTCTTAAAAAAGGTGTAAACAATTGTCAGAAAAGAGTTATTATAATTTGAAACACTATATTCCAAATTACCTGCACCCTAAGTAAATTTATGCTTTTGGAGTTTTTCATTTTGATAAATATTTTGATGGGGTTGCCGGTTTTCGTTTTGTTTGATTGTTTATATCATACAACTTTAATGAACCGCCAACAATTTAATAAATTTTTTATTGTGCTATCCGGCTTATCTTGTAATTTATTTCCAAAAACAAACCAGTATTCCAAATACCATATACTGCAGTGCCTCTATGCGTCAATTTTGTTATTATTAAAGACACCTTATATTTAAAAAGAGAAGAACTCTGGGATGGGACCATCATCAACAAATGATTACTTGTCACTACTGTGCTCAGCTGTCAGTCTGCCATTCTGTAAGCCCACCATTTTGAGTTGGAATCCTCTAAACCACAAATCCAAAACCGTCCAAACATACAACAGAAACAAACATAACCAAAGGCATAAAGCAGTCAAAAGCTTTTATTTGCTGGGCGTAATTACTCCCCATAATGCTACCGCTATTCCTTATTGTTTATACTGTTACGGACTTCCAAGTCACTTCTGCTCCGACTCCGTATAACGATAACCACGAGTGCAGACAAATGTGATACCTCTTACACATTATTGTATATATTTACATCGAAACTTTCGGGTAACTGTTTATCTTTACGCTTAAGTTGTGTAAATAAGTTCAGCTCAAGAACAGGAACAGAAATTATAAGCATTATTGGCGATATTTACAGTCGTGCCTGATTTCCAAATTTCTGTGCAACCCAAATGGTTTCTACTATGCGCTAAAGTAACAGGTAGAAACATTGATTAAGATTTTCTTAGATGTCAACCTACAAAAACCTTTTACTCGTAAAATATATGAAACCTAAGCTTGCCTACGTATACTTCTTTGTTTTTCGTGCACTTCTTTACCTTTTCTGGTAAAAAGATATGAAAAGGTATATTTTGTCATTGACAGAGTAGTAGTTTTCTGTCAACATTTCATCGGAACCCGAGCAGTAATTTCCGAACTAGACGAGCACCGGACACCGTAGTTTTTCCGAAGAAACCATTTTACGGTCCCTTGTTCTGTCACAAATTGTTCACAGACAAAATTTGGTTGATCCGTGTGTATTAATACCTCCAAGTAACAGACAGTCTGCGCCATCGAGTGCACTCAAGCTCACTCAGCTGCGCGGTGCCAGAATACATACTGACCAGCCGAGATTAAGCCGCTTAGCTGCCATTCTAGCAAGCGTGAGCTGAGGGGCTCAATCGCGGCTGGCCAGGATGTATTCTGGCAGCGCGTAGCTGAGCAAGTTTGAGGGAATTTGGTTACACAGACCGTCTGTTCCGCGGATATATCAAAATTAATGTACATTCGAACTCAAATACTTGAAAATGTACAATTTATCCCAACATTCAATGCTAAAAAAATTGCGAGAATCTGCCGGCTTGCTATCCACGTCAAATCCACTCAGCTAACAAATACTAGCGAGAGTAATTTTACTTGAGTAACATCTGTACCGTATCCTGGACTTACAGAGGACCTACTGGTATTCAATAGGAAGGCCATAGTGGGTCCCTTGACAAGACACGTCTAAATCGACATATGAGGCTCTTGGGTCTGGAAAGTGAGGCCGGATGCCATTTCTGCAGAAGTATGAAGTCCACTATTCATATGTCATTTCATTTGGTCAAAAAATCATGGAGTGACTTCACTACAAAGGTCCTCATCACCTTAGTTGCCGAGCTGAAATCTGGAGAGCTGCTACATTTTAGCGCAAACGTGACAGTTTAAAGTTTCAAGGCGGCGATGGGGCATCATCTTGGAACGTTTTTTCAAATGAAACGAGAGGTCACGTGATTTTATGTTAAATTTTTCTCAAGAACTTTGTAACTCTACAATATGACATAAGTACCTTCCAAACTGTCAAACTGAACCGTATATTGTGTTGCAATCTTCGTTTGTTCGAAGACTCTGTCTGAATACGTAATAAAATATGGGACGCTCCATTAAAAAAAAGTCAAAATCTGTCATTTCTTCAACTGAATATTCTATTGTACACTCAGAGAGTTCTTTCCAAAATAGAAAGATTGATATAATTATACTATTGCGCTTTGATTAACAAAATGTCACATACAGACCGAGGTTAAAATAAATAAATAAATAGTCTCCTTTGGTAGGATACCTATGCTCATGGTATCGTTAACCTTAGGTATGTGTAGTGTACTATTATTCTGGTTCTTTCTAATGTATTGTTCATTTGTTCTAGGTAAGTAAAAAGATGCAGCTCTTCACCAGTCCGGCAAGTAAGTTAAATAAAATAGGAATCCATATTTTTGGAACCTGTGTACCTAACACAGCCCAAATCTGCATATACCTAGTATATACAGTTTTATTTTCGATTCTGTGTTGAGGAACATGTTAGATCGAAACTTATATTTTGGCTCAAATAACTTTTTAGCTATATTTTGATTTTTGATATACGCTAACTTTTAATAAACCCCTTTTCTCATTAAGAGGCGGATCATACAAGGTTCTAAATCGACTATTCAAAGAACTTCCCCGTCTGATTCTTACCGTTCTACGAAAAAATCAAGCAAGCGTGGTTGAATATATCGCTTTCCTTGTTATTTAAGTTTTATCATTAGCGAACTAGTTTGGAGTCTGTACTTCCATCCAACTTTTGCAATACAAAATGCATAAGCATCAGTCCTATATATTTCAATCAATGAAACTCCATTAAACTCTTTATAACGATTAAATCTAGTTTGAAAAGCCCCCTAACAAACTCTTAACAAGCGCAGCCGAGCTCTGTCCGTAACTATAAACGGGAAGGTAATAAGGTTCTTGCAGAAGTTAACGGATACTGGGAAAGTTTAAATCACAAGCTGTATCGATACCATTAGCAGCAATTCACAATGGAGGTTGTCCTTTTCCAACTGTATAAAATCGAATTGATTCAAGATCCCAGATATGCCATATCTCTTACAGAAGGTCAACACAGGTGTTCTTCAGGCTTTGACTACAACTTTGTTCTGATTACGAATCAATAACCTTCTTCGCTGATCGATGATTACAATCAACAACTTAGAGTATGACACTACTGCAAAAAGTAGGGACAGGTAGATTATGGACCAGTTTTGTTGCTTTGTTCCCTGGAGCGATGAAGTTGTCATTTTCATACAGTTCTCGGAAACTTACGTGCTTGATTACGAGTGACAAAACGTACTTTTCCGGGTGGTGAAACCACATTTCGATATATGCGAGCCTTCAGCAAGGCTGAGATACGCTGCTGGAGAAGTTAGATGTTCTTCCATAAAAAATCGATGGAGATATTTTGTGAAAAGCATTTGTGATACTCAATATTAACTTCTATTAACATTTATGAGCACATGGAAGAATAATTCAAAAATTCTCGACCGGCTTGGTTGGAGTCCTATTTCAATACTCTAAATATATTTACGAGGGTTTAGTATTCTTTCGGAAATACAGATTCTAAGGCCCATACTTTTTAGACCGCTTTCAGAAATTTTCTGTTGCTCCGAATAGGACTTCCCAATCAGTATCTTTTATAGGGGATATTCGAAATCAGCATCCGAAGCTACCGCATTGCACTAGTGTAATAACGAAAAACAAAGATTTTGCATTGAGAAGCAACAAAAATTTGAAGGCGATTATACCGGGTGTAAAAAAGAAACGGAACAGTTAATGCCTTTTTAAAAAAAGTGTTTAAGTCACGGCTTCATTGACTTTGAACAAAAATATCAACGGTAATCCCGAATCTGACCCTCAAGGATAACCAAATAATTGACCCTTAAGCCTCACCTTCAACGTCATTAGAAAACTTTTTTGAATGAGAACATTCCTTTTTGACACCGAAAGTCGAGACTTTTGCATTCTAATATGTTCTTATATACTAAAAGCTCAAGGTCAAATCTAAGGTCAATATTGCAATATCCTTGTTAAAAGCTACTTAAGGATTGACTTTTTTATCTATAATTCTGCCAAATTTCTAAATTTTGATCAGATCCTCACCTAACATTTAGACGTGACCTAGATTACAATACATATCATTTCGATTGCCGGTATTAAACAGGAGGTTTTCCATTAAAAACTAAGATAACATAGCAATGATGTTTACTACATACATAAGTGACTCAGATCCAACTCGGTTCGAATTAAATACGATCCAAATCCGAGATTCCCTTACGTTTACATGCAGTTTTCAATTCGAGCTCAATCGCCTGTTTTTCCCGGGGAGCTAAATGCCATGCACACAACATTTATGTCATGTGTCATCAGTCAATCGTAATCCCTAACCCTATTTTCGTGGTGTCGGTTTTTAGGTGGCTTTACGATTTTTATGTTTTTAAAATTATTAGTTAAAAATTAATACTCTTCAAGTAGTCACTGTACGAGGTATGTGTGAATATCTCCAGTACAACATATATGACATATGCTTAGGTCATTTCGGCATTACAGTCACTCTGCGCGGGCGCCCATTCGGTCTCAACCCCGATGCCTGTTTATAAGGATTTCAGTTGGTTATGATCCCGATTCGACCTCGCGAAAAGAAGAATCGCTCTTGAAACCAGATTCACTTTCTTGCGGATCAAATGCAGGATCGAATATCAAGCTCGAACTGAGTCCGAACTGAATCTCACATGTAAAAATGGCCATTGGAGGTGAGGCTCAATGTCAAATACAAGGCAACAATTGGCGTTCTTGTTCAAAGTGAGCAAAGGTCTGACCTAGAGATCTTTCAAAAATACCTGGAAAAATATAGAGCCGCTCCATTGCTTTTGTTTCACGTTGCATTTTTACTGTCTGCTAAATTCAAAACGTGGGTCCTTTAAACTATAAGGATTTACCTCAACATGCTTAATATAAATCATTATCGTCTCACACCTTGTATCGTATTCTATTGACCCTATACTTGATAATCACGTCATTCATCATATTTGTACATTCCACCATGTCGTTACTCCTAACAAACTTGTTTTTTAATGGACACGAAATTGCGGTCACGCACTTTGGTCATTTCCAATATTTTTGTTGCACCAGGCTTCAGAATAAAATCATAAATGAAGCCATCTGTTCGACAGCCTCATTTACTTACCAACAGGTTGAGTCAACATTTGAGCTCCGTGGACATTGAACGATCAACAAATGGAGTACTTAAAAGATCACGAGCTCTGTACAGACTCATTACATGAATAAACATGTTGTGCATGTACACTATTACGAACGGCTAAGCGTGTAACATTCTATCGATTGTTTTGTTCCATGTAATAGACAGGTATGAACGTTTGTTGTCTCACTTGTATTTACTAGTAATGAATAGTTACAGCATGAACTCATTCGTTAAATGAATCAACTACGTGAAATGTTTCATAGTTTTGTATCTAATGGAATGAATCAAATGAGGAAATGTTACCGAGTTTTCAGCTGCCATTGCAGATAGGACTGGTGGAAACTGGAGAGTAATGGTTAGATGCTCCAACTAAAGCTATGCTTATCCTCATTTTATAAGATTGTATCTCTTTGAAAGTATCATTTTCTACTATTGAGTCGAAATGAACCATGTCTTTCAGGGTTCACATTCGTTCACCTCCTTGCTATGAGCCAGATATTTGATAAGATGTTAAGGTTCAAATACTTAGAACAAAAAATGTCTCTAGACAAAATTCTGGCATAGCAGGCACTCAACTGTAGTGCAAGCTCGTACACGGCAATTTGTATACAAAACTATTGACCCTAGCCACTTATTCCCTGAATTTTTCTATTCGTTTTTAAGGCCTTAGTTGTTCTTCTAGATATTTTTTAACCATGTAAATGCAGTAATATGTTTACTGGTCAGCAACACGCGGAGATGTAATCAAACGTCAAATAAATTTCACGGCGCTTTAACAGATTTTTCTCCGCCATAAAACAGCCCCTCGCATGAATTTTTTCCGATTGTGGTCCCTTGCACGGTTCCCGGGATCCAACGCCGCGAACAATGGCATTATAAAGGGCCCTTTTGACGCAGGGAGTTCTCTTATTGTTCTTCGCAAGCTCGTGCCTTATTTCCCTCGGCTTATCTTCGATCAGACCTCTGCGCTCTTTATGTTTTTCGTTCGGGCTTGTATTGTTTTGAATATATCGGTCAAACGAGTGTTTCTCCCCATCCTGCTACCTCTTAACATAATCGGGCAGAATTCCTTACAGGGTAGTAAAGGTCGGCGTGCATCCCTTAAAGGAAAAGAACGGGAGATTCAATAGGAATAAAAAATAAGTTGAGAACTATTACGCGTATCTTTCTTTGGGGATCTGCTGGAACTTTCAATTCAGCATGGAATCTACATCTGAGTTTCCTTGAGGGGAGTGATCAAATATACATGGAGTCCTAAAAGTTGGGGCCTGCCTCTTCAGAAACAAGTACATTTGTAACAACAAAGTTAATGTGCGATGAAGCAACAGCGAAAAGGTAAAAGTAATAAATGTCACTTGTAAGTACTGCTCAAAGTTGTGTGCGAAAGATTAGCAGATAATTAACATTTCATTTCACCTTAAACCAAGAAAGAAATCATGAAGGATCTTGAAAAACCATCTGTAAATTAAGATATTCTGCACTGCTATTGCTGTGTGCCACTGTTATAATCGATACATGTTGTCTGTTCACAAACGCGGGCAGTGCCTGAGCTGAGTACTGATCTGCATCGCACCTGTAAACATTTTATCTGATCGAGGTGCAGGACCGAATTAGGTTTTGTTTAGGTGTGGTTGACTTTGCGAAGTCTAGCATCGCCGTAATCATATATCATATATATGTTACTATAAAAAACTGCTTATTTTTCCAAGATCTATACCCGTGTAAAGGAAACTCCCATCTTTGTAAACACCCTCGTCGCAGTGTACGGTACTAGACATGTGTCAAATTTAGGCTCAACTCTCGCGCTGTATATAGTGGTAATGTTGTGTGACATAAGTGCCATTCTTGAAGAAAGTACCGATTGCGCATCGTGCCCGCGCATTCTGTCTCGTGACATGTCTTCAACATCTCATAGTGTTGGCCAATATTTTACGCCGCCATTACCCTTCACGTCTGTTTCGTTGTTGGTTGCGTGGTTATAGTGTTTTTGGCGTCACGTGACTCAGTGCGTTTAGTGATATGGTTTATTAAGGAAGCTCGTCCTGCGAGATTCTGCAAAATATTATCGAAGCACTATTTAAAACCGCTGGCAGAACTTTTTTCGTTGAGATTTACTGGATTATTCACCATACAGCCCTTATTCACCTGACAGCACCATTAGAATTTCATCTTTTTCCAAAACTTGACGAATCTTTTGATGGAAAGTGCTTGAAAAATGGTGACATGTTGAAAGAAACAGTTACTAACGGTCAGGCAGCGGTTGATTGACAAAAGTTCAAATGTTTATGATGACTATTTTGCAAAATTAAAAATGTCCATATTTAAAATTGTGATATAATTTACATTTGCTTATAAAGTTTCCTTGACTCCGTTAAAAAAATGACCCTCATAGATGTTACAGATTCGAGAAACTGTAAGCATTTACTTACTTCTCACACTGTTCAATGACTTAGTAGTAGATTGTAATCGAGACTTCTCTTAACCTTGGGAGTGTGGAAAGTAATATCACATAAAAACTTACCGCTGGTAGCCGCATAGACCTAAACCCTGCTGATTACGTTTACCACCATTTATGGTAGGTTTCGGGAAGAATATTTTGAATACCGTTCCAAATACAGATTTGTGTAGACGTAGCAGGTGCTTACTGTCGCTGCCGAGTGGTTTCGCGATATGATGTGGCTCCTAACTTAACCTGCAAGGAAAATGGGTTCAGCAAAACTGAGAAACGTGTCACGTAGCTAGAAGACGATTTATGCTTTGCGAAGGTGAGTGATGTCATTTTTAATAGACAACTAAATTTTCAATAAAAGCTTATGCCAAGCTGATGTCTGGTGGCAAATTGTGTTAATTTGGGACCAGACACCCTTGCATTCGAGTAAGATACCTTTATGAAATTCCTTTTTTGATTACTTGATCAATGCAATCTAGGGGACCTCCAGTAAAAATTTTTTCCAGACTTTAAAAGTCTGCATCATTAATTTGTGAAGAAAAAAGACCCTTTCTAAAGCTCAACATTTTTTTCACCTTTTTTACGGCGATATGAACCGGGCGTATAATAAGCAAGGTGTATAGAGAGCAGCCCTTCATTCCATGTTTTCATTAGCAATTTCAAACGGAAGAGGAAACAAGTTTCGTGAATATTAAACATTAACAAAGTGATGCACTTCTGTGTCAAGTCTTTTTACGTAACCCCCAGGTTTTGTAAATGCGCAAAAATATCGAGAGGACGAACTAAGGCTCTGCATGATGCTTTCGTCCATGGGACAAAAAATACAACCAACCATGGACAGCTGTTTACTGTTTCTTTGCTACTCTTACTACTCTTGTTTCTGTACCAACAAAAGAAAGCATCGCAACTATCCTCTGTACCGGAGGTACAGTCTATCGAAATAAGACAGCAGAAAGCGTCGTCTGTCACCATAGAATCGACCACTGCAGAAAGCGCATAGCTGCTATGAGTTGGAGCTGCTATGGATATCAGTTTACGTTTAATAGCCCAGTTACCACGTGACCGCTAGATAGCTGACTATTCTGGCTATGAAGTAGATGTGGTCTACTTGCCATTTTTCATTTTTTTTATACTCTAACTACCACGAAGGCCTAAGGCCTGAACACCCATTGGGTACCGTGGGGGTATAGGGGGATATAGTGGAAAGGGGGAACACCACACGGAGTCTGGCGAGATAACACGTGTGCATGCAACATGCACATATTCTGGCTCCGCCTACTAGATCCGCCGAGTGGTACCTCCGCGTTCGACATTCAGAGACCATCTACTACCTACGGATAATTACAACATCCATAGCTAAGAGAAAAATTTCTCTTGGGACGGTATTCGAACCCGCACAGCGGACGGCGACTGACCAGGAGACCGAAGAGTCTATTACTGCGGCCACCGCTGCTGCTGCCATTTAATAAACCATCTCGTCCATCCGCAGTGGTCGATTCTGGTATGATAGATGACTCTTTACGCTGTCTTATTTTGATAAAAATTAATGCCACAAGTTCCCTTGGGGATGCTTATGAAACTTTTCTTTCCTTAAACAGTGAGCTCGAACGGCTGCTAGGGATGGATTAGCAAACAAAATATTTCAGGAAACTCTACTTGAAAACCAATCCTGTTTGATCTCATGAAAGCGAGTCGTTTTTTATAAAAACGCTTGCGTCAACACCATTTTTCTCGATCTAGTCGACAGTCGAGTCTAGAAGAGCTCGAAAAATATCCAAAACTGGATCAAATTACCTAGAAATGTTAAAGTATTGTTCGGTGGTTAGTTACGGGTCTATTGTCATAATTGTTATACATTCAAAATCGGGGGTATATTATAATTTATTTATTATTAAAATTGATAGAAATGAAACAAACGAATTTTTATCAAGAACTGCTCAGCAGGATCATTTTTTTCAGGTCAGAATCAGGCTTGCCAAACACGTCATCGTTGAGCAATTGTCATAAAAGGCTAGTCAGTCTCTGGCGGTCTAAGTGAGTTAACTTTTTCTTTGTCACGTGGGGCCCCAATTGGCTACGATGCTGTCAAGTGTTAGTGTTAAAGGTTGCTCAAGAAACGTCAATTTCCAATCGCCTGTAAGAGACCTGTATCTGCCTTTCTTTGGGGAGCTTACTGCATAAATATTTTCTTTTTGTGTTCTATAATAAGTACTAGAGAAATTGTCATCCTATGACAGGATACTTTTATTTTGCGTATTGAACTCACAACAGCCCGAGTTAAAAAACTAAATAAAGCAGTTCCTAAAAGTGTGGTTTCATTGATGCCTGAAGATGCACCTTGTGGTGGCTGCATCTACGACTTTTATTTTCCGCGCTCACTGGCAACGACACATTCTGATAGCAAAAAATTCCAAAGTTGAGATATGTTTTTTGGATGTATGAAACCTACATCACGAAAAACCACTGCACTCATTTTCGTCGATCTGTCGGTGTGTCTGTTGGTCTGACTGTCCGCTGATCCTTGGCCCGTCCATAACTTGGAAAGTATACGTACAGCTCGGATTTTCATGAAACTTTCTCACGAGATAGCTATGTCAAGGAAGAAAAATCTATATATTTTTTGAGAATCGATTTGATGGCGGCAACGTGAAAAGCAAAAAAACGAAACAATAAAAATGGCTCATACGTTTTTTGACGTTTCAGAGGCTCCGGATCATTTTCAGTAAAGTTTTTAGGGGCTAAAAGCTGGGGGTTGGGCGTTGTAGGGGTAGCGGGGGGTATCTCATTTTTGTGACTTCACATAGAAATATCGCCAATAGTCGGGTCTCGATAGGTGCGACGTCGTGTCCCGATGGACAAAAGCGTGGTCGTCGGTGGTCATAGGTCACACTACTGCGTGCACTGTGCAAGGTGAAGGCCAATATCGTCATTCACGCGGGATTGGTCATCGCAACGATCATGTGATCATGTGCACCTGCAGGAATCCCTCTCAGAGGGCGGAGGAAGGTCATTTAATTTTCTGTTAGAAATGCTCGTGGCTAATTTTTCTCTTAAGGGTTAACTTATGTCAAACATAATACTTTACGCATTGATGACAGGGTAGCCTGGGCGGTAC